AGGTATTATCTGAACAGAGACCAAAACATGTTTGTCTAAGGTTACCTCAGAACAAAGCCTCTAAAGATGAATAAAGAGTTTCCTCACAGCACACTGGAAAGCAATTACAGCCCACACGTCTGACACGGCCATGGGGCAGAGGTGAGAGAGAAAAGTGGAACCATATTTGAGGCACTCAGAGGACCAGTGGCCAGTAAAACAATGAAAGGGAACTTGCCAGGAAGGCAGGAGGGACTGGAACACAGAATGGCACGAAGAGGAGTGCCAGGGACTCAGAGGGCAAGTCAGGCCGAGCCAAGCCCAGAGGCAGGGGCTTTATAAATCTACATTTGTAGATCAGGGAAGCCTGGGGAAAGGAATGAAGAAAGGCTGGGAAAATCCCACATCAGCTCTTCTGGCTGATATTTTCAATTCAGGGAAAGTATAAGCTGGCTAAGTAATTTCAAACATCTGTATATGATAATGTTAATTAAAATTAAGAAGTGGTCTGTGACTATTAAGTAGTTATGTAGGATGTAGGTTCAGGGTTTAAGAGGAGGGTGTGAATTTCCATCTGGAGGTACTTTTAGGTTTCAGAAGGCTGAGAGACAATAAAAACAATGACTCTAACCTACTGTGCTATTCATCATTCATTAAAAAGTATTCACGAAGACCTCAGGATGATGGTGGGCTCTGAGCTGTGCCCAGGGACTATGGCAGTGAAAGAAGATATAGACCCTGTCCTCATGAGTTTCTCTGTTTTTTTTCTGGTTTTACTTTTTTTTTTTAAATTGTGGTAAAACACATATAACAAAATTCACCGTTTTGAACATTTGTGAGTGTACAGTTCAGTGGCATTAAGTACACTCACATTGTTGCACTGTCCTCACCACCAACGTCCACAGAACTCTTTATCTTGCAAAACTCAATACCCATTAGGCACTAACTCCTGATTCTCCTCTTCTCTTAGTCGCTGGCAACCACCATTCTACTTTCTGTCTCTATGAATCTGACACTATATACCTCATACAAGTGGAATCATACAGTATTTGTCTTTTTGTAACTGGCTCATTTCACTTAGCATAATGTCCTCAAGGTTCATTGATGCTGTAGTATGTGTCTGAATTGCCTTCCTTTTTAACGTTGAATATATCCCACTGGATGTGTATACCCCATTTGTTACCATTCATCCATCCATGCACCATGTTACATTCCCACCAACAGTGCATAAGGACTCCAATTTCTCCATATCCTCACTGACACTTGTTTGTTTTTTCTTCCTTTCCTTCTCTCCCTCCCTCCCTTACTTCCTTTCTTCTCTCTTCTTTTCCTTTTCTCTTTCTTTCCTTTCTTTTGATAGTAGCCATCCTAATGGGTGTGATCTATGGTTTTGAGACTATGCTTTACACAGGAATATCCTGGTCTATGGAAGAACCTATGACCTCTTGGGTGTGTGTGAACGTTTTTACTTTGAGGACACAAGCCATAACCTACTAAGGGCATGTGGCCATAAGAAAAGCCCTAACTCCACCAGTAGGAAGGACCTCTGGGGGCACTCTACACATAAGGCTAAGAGGATTGGGGGTCTGGCTGCTAAAACCCAAGAAGCCAGCTTCTGAGGGGATCTGGGACTACTTGGAAGGTAAGGCTTCCTTGGAAATGTCTCATGCCTGTCCCTGTGAGTCATTACAGGAGGAGCCATTGGTCCACAACCCTCCACAGGACCCACTGGAAGGGCAAGAGCAGATGGAAAAGTGGGTTGATGCAGTGAAATTTCAGAAGAGGGATCAGAAAGGTTGGCAAAATGCAGTAGTAGTAAAATAATACAATAATTCAAATTATTCCAGTGCTTATAATGTTTCTAACACTTTGACTTGTCTTCACCTATTTACGACCCTGCTTTTGCTCCATCACTGCTTATGAACGAGGGCACCTTTCTAGCTGGGTGAAAGGTAAGTAGCTGTGCTCCTTTTTGGTCCTGTTACATAGAGACCCACTGCATGCTGAAGCTGGAAGGGATTTCAGAGATCATTTGATTCAATCTTTACTTCACGGATGCAGTTGTCTTGAGGGAGGTGGAGGTAGAACATTACCCGCGCGGTAATACAAATAATCTGCGAACTGCTTGAGTTAGAAACCAAAGAAATATTTCGGTGATAACACTGACTCAATTATCAATCCTTAATTTATACCCTAGAATGTCAGCTTGCTGATCTTGTTCCATAAAAGCCTCTAAGAACATATTCATAAAACACCTTCTATGAATATAATTTGTACACTTGGCTGTCCTATAAATACACATTTTATTGTAGCCAGATTTAATTTTTCCCCACAAATTAACTGCACAGAAAATATAATGGGCTTGTATCATCATACTGTAAAGGAGCAGGCCCCCAATGACAGCTCTCCTTTTATCAACTTCTGCTGCACAGTGGATTGACATGAAAATTAGAACAGGGCAGGAAAGGCATGGTGTTGCCCACATATGAGGAGGAGGTGGCACTTTGCTATCTGCAAGCAAAGACAGTAGAAAGTGCTCTGTTTTTGTGGTTCAACAGTGAATGTGGTCTCTGTCAACACCAGGACCTGAATGTCCCTCATTACAAGCAGGAGTCAGAGTGAGCATCTCAAGTGAGCAGGGAAGGCCTGGGGTGAGCTTCAAGGAAGAGGGGAGGAGCAGCAGAAGGCCGGAGAGCGCCCCTGAATCTGTGACCACAGTAAAGGATCTTAGCAGGTCCATCGAATAATATATGGGAAACTGAGTCCAAGAAAAGTGAAGGGATTTGTTCAAGATCTTACAGTCTATGGGCAGAAAAACTAAGACGATTCTCTATTCTGATTTCCATGCCTTATTAACTTTTACACTAGAGAAGCCTTTTCCCTGTGTTGTTAGTTAACTAGAAGCACTTTAGGGAAGATAGCAAAAGTCACAACAGGTTGTACTAAGAACCCTGCAGCAAACAGCACTGTGACTGGGTTACATAGAGAATACAGTCCTTGAGCTCCCATTTCTGATGCCAAGACAAAATACGGTTCAGGGAATGAAGGGGGCTAAGGCTTTTCTTCTGCAGATGGAGCTGAGGACAGGTTACGTTCATTGTGATGTGGCAGCATATTCAGCACATCCTTGGGTGTTGTGTGGGCTTTGTAGGGTATTCAATCATGCAGAAGTTTCAAAAGTCATTTCTGCCTCCCCTCTATTCTCTCCTGGCCACTCTGAGAGGCTCTGATATGACTGGCTCATGGTTACGATTCATTGCTCAAGTGAGCCAGTTACAGACTAGAATGTGTCATATTGTGTCATGATGTGCCCAGTGTGAGGGGCAGAGGGAAGCTGAAGAATCATTGCTGTAGTAGTCTCATGGCAACTGGTCACAAGTCTGTGATCCTCTTACAAAGCCCCTTCTAAAGCATCAGTGCATTTCCTAGCACCATCTAGACAAACAGAAATACAATGCAAATTACATATGTAATTTTAAATTTTCTAATAGCCACATTAAAAAGGAAAAAGAAACGGGTGAAATTAACAATAATATATTTAACTCAACATATCCAAAGTATTGCCATTTCAACAAGAAGTAAATCTATATTATGATGTTCTACATTTCTCATACTAAGGCTTTAATATCCAACGTGTACTTAATATTCAGAGCACATCTCAGTCCAATTAACCATGTTCCAAATGTGCAGTAGCCACACAGAGCTAGTGGCTACCAAACCGGACAGGCAGGTATCCTTGTCTCCCTCCCTGACATGAGTGTACTCCACAGAAATAGAAATGTCTCCATGCCACAGCCATTCCTACCATCTCAGGGCCCTCTCCTCTCCAAGTCTAATGTGGCCACTTTGGTCTTTATTCCACCCCAATTCTCCTCCATTCAGTCATCGAATAATAACAGCTGAGCGCCTACCAAATGCTGGGTGTCTGTGTTAACGTGAGAATGAACAGGTAAATGAGCAGGAGACCCTGTCTTCCAGGAGCGCTCAGCTTAATGGGGAAAGAAGGCACGAAGAGAATTTGCTGAGTGCTCTACAGAGATGTATGCAAAGGGATGTGGAAGAGGAATGCCTTTCTTCTGGGGCTTCTGGAAAGCATTCCAGATGGCGAGCATGTAGTAAGACCAGGAGCACCTGGAGTGAGGCTGGCGAGCAAGCCAGGCCTTGAACACCTGAAGACGCATTCAGAATTACCGAGTCATTCCCTGAGCAGAGAAATCTTGTGGCAGGGTCACCGCCCAGGTTGGAGAGGACTAAGAGGTAAGGAAAGGCTGAGCGGAGGGGGCAGGAGTCTGTCTAGAAAGGTGGGGTGTGAACACCCCAGTGAATGACAGGAATGTCAGAACACTATTTTCTGAAGACAAGATGAAGCATTATGATGGAGCCTGGGCAATGGGCCTACCAGCCAAGGCTTTCCAGGCCCAAACTCACTACACCAGGCAACTAGCATGGTCTTTACACAGGACCACAATAGCCTGGATAGCACCTTAGAGAGCACCAAATGGCCTCTTTCCCTGAAGAATCAACCAGGCTCCTTACGGGTTCATTTAGACAATGGAAGGAACCAAGCTGACTTACTTCCAGGATTACTAGGTAACTCCTGCGAGAGGCAGCAGGTGCTGGGCAGCACTTGGCCATCACAATCACATGTGTTCACTCACTTGACCTTGAATTTTCTTGAATAAAGCTCTGGAGCTCTCAGGTAAGAACAGGGAGACAACTTGACATTTACAGTAAGAAGGAGTCTCTGAGATCCCATGGGCCCTCATTTTATAGACAGGAAAGCTGAGGCACAGAGAGTGAAAGGCTTAAACATCATACAGCTAAGTAAGTGCCAGAAATAAGAATAGAATTAACCCTCTGTGGCACCAAAGCCTCCGTATGGTTAGTATGAAAGGTGCCACAAAGGGCTGTTTACCCTCACAGCAGACTCAAGTGGGAAAAGAGGCTAGAGACACACTGGGCAGTAAAACTGTCTTTGTGAGCCTAAGATTCAGTTTAGCAGCAATAAACAAGGTACTCACATGGTGAAGTGTCTTCAAAGATTGGGTCGATATTATGCAGCAGCTCTATTCTGGGAGACGGGCTTCCTTCACTAGAAAAGAATTTTTTTAGGAAATGTTAATTTCCTCTCTCAAATGGGTATGAATGATTTTAATACTTCCTTTCCTTGTATTTACAGGAAATAACAAACCTGCCAGTTAACTTTGTCATGGATTCAGAGGTCTCCCAAATCTGTGGCCGGTATATTTCAAGTAGTCATTATTAGTCTACATTATAATAATGACTGAACATTTATATAAGAACTTCAGTGTCAAGCATATGGCAATTAAAAAACAGAGTCCTGTGACTCTGCAATAAAAAAATGCAGCTATGCTTATACATGACCATTCTTTACTGCAGCAAAAGGAAAACTCAAGTCATCCGGGGTAGACTCTGTAATGAACACTCAAAGGTCAATGAAGAAAGAAGAGCTGCCAGAGTGGCAGCATCAATACTGTAGATACAACATGCCTTTTAAATATTACATGAGTGAACTTGTCTTCCATATCCTATTTTGCAACGTGGAACTTAAATATAATACAAATACCTATATCCCTTTAAGATTTTTTTAAAAGGTGTACATGCAAATACAATCAAAACCTACCTTAGTGCTGAAAAGAAACTTGGAGATCACTTAGTCCAACCACCTCAGTTTACAAATGAGGAAGGCATATAGTAAACTATTGGCCGAATACTGAATTATGTGACACTCAAAATAGTGTTCTTAAAAACTGGAGCATAAACACCACAGCGGTATATAGGGTGTGCATGAAGGGCACAGGTCACTTTGCTAGTACAGACTCAGCCTTATGGAGGAAATTGTTAGACATAATTTCAATCATTGGGAGAGGACTGAGAACTTCTTGATAATCCAATAAAAGGTTGCAAAGCACTGTTAATGCCACCAGATTTGTACACATCTTAACCGATAAGGTCCCTCATGTAGCCAAGAAGACATGTACTCTGGTAGCCCCAAATTCACACCCCAAACGCACAGCTAATTGTCTACAGCAATGGTTGGGGATTTCAAGGACTATGCAACTTCAAAATGTTTTTGTGACTGGCAATGTTGCATTTGCCAAATAAGGAAATGTTAAAACAAAGTTAAACGTATTCAAAAGCCCTAGATGAGCTCATGTACCTCCCCTGGGGCTAGTCCTTTGGCGAAATGATGCATTTTAGTAATATCTCCAGGTGGATTTTTAAAACATGCATACATATATGGAAAGGGAAGATGGTAAATGTAAATGTGGAAAAACATACACCAAACTGTTAATTGGTGTGGGGTATGTCTGTAGAAGACTTGTGATTTCTATGATAAACATGTATTACTGTAATAAGGAAAAACTTCAGATTTTTTTAAAAGTAGTATATAATTTGTAGATACTTCTAAGCTCTCAAAAACACAACACTTTAAAGTATCACAAGGAAAAACAGATATTTTACAGAGTTTAGGATTTTAAATACAGAAAAACCATCCATAATTTCAAATTACATGTACAATTTTAAGGCATTAGTTTTTGGAATTTAATTGTATTCTACCCACGTAAGCTATCTCAATAATTGACCATGTAATTTTCTTCTCTGGAGTCTAGAAAGTTCCCTACATGTTTGAGAACAGGATTGCCTTTACCAATAGGTCGAAAACAGAGCAATGGGCTTTGGGTTACTAGGTTCTCAAGTCTCACTCCTAAAGTCACTTCTTTCTGTTTCAGTAAAAGGTGCAGGCAGGGTCTTGATGCCAGAGATTGAGGGGATGAGAGGAAAGAGGGGGAGAAATAGGGGAATGAAGAAGAGGTGGGGGAGGAGGAAGGAAGAATAGGGAGAAGGAAAGAAACAAGGAGAGAGGAGGGAAGTAGGTTTACTTTAAGAGTTACACACTAAGTTGTTATTAGCAGATCCACTAAAGTCATTATACATACACACATACACACATCAACTCAAGAAGGCAGAGAGACCACATGGCTAATTTCAGTGGAGACAAGGGCACAATATATACTGATGCTGGAATGGAGAAGTAGACTCAAGTCACATGAAGGACCTAGGGACAATGGGAGGTGGAAGGGATGCAGGGGTGGAGAGGTGAAGATCTCTGAGATCTCAAAGACCAACCTGGCGAGCTCCACAATATTGCACAGGGAAGATTCTAGAGTCATGATTCTGAAAGGACCAATAGTGGGCAGAGAGACATTGGTCATCATGAAGGTGCACCCTGTTGTTGGCAAGGGGAATCCCTCAGGCCTGAGTGAAGGACTCCCTGGACTCAGCTCAGTGCCCACTGTCTATGGAATTGACTCCCCAGAAATGCAAAACTGGGTGCTGGGGCTGGACATTGGCACTCTGGTTATTGGGAAGGAATATCCACCACTGAATTAACAAATTAACATTCTCTTTTATGTATTAAAAGAAAGTTTAGTAAGTAGCCACACATTTTCAATGCAGTTTAAAAACACTCTTCTCTTAAGAACTCTAGGCCACTTGAAATGCAAGTAGTCTCTAATAACCACAGGAAAGATCTCACTTCTGGATCTGGAGGGGAAAATGCTTGGCCTTTTTTTTCTTCTTCTGTGTCATTTTAGGTAAATCTTCCCCACTGTTTTTTTACTCCCATCCCTTCTCTGTGGCTCCGGAAATTTTTGTCATCAACAATCTCCACTTCCTTATGCATGTTCCTCTATTATTATGTTAAAAAATATATACATTTTATTTTTAACTATCTTTTCTTCTCTTCACTATTAAATATCCCCAAACAATATTTTTACACCAGTTACTCTTGCTTTATCTCACTTTGGAATCACCTGAAGAGCTTTTGAAATCCAGAAGCTCCGGCTGCACCTTGCACCAGTGAGGTTACCAGGGATGGAACCAAGCCACCAGTAGTTTTTTTGAACTCCCAGGTGATTCCAAAGTGCCACCAAGATTGCAAATCACTGCTCTGGAGCAGTGCTTTTCAAACGTTAATGTCAATATAGATCACTTGGGAATCTTTTTTTTTTTTTTTTCCCATAAAACCAACTTTATTATAAACACACAATTTAACAAATTACTTGATAAAAATATTTCATTTAGAATAAATTGTTAGGACAAGACTGGATTGAACTTTTAAGGTCACTTATATTGTTTGATTTGTTGCTCTGAAAAATAAAAATGGTTCTAGGAGTAATCAAGTTTATTTGCCTACAGAAACATCAAGTACTCTTTCTCTAAGAAGCATTCCAAACTGCATAGAAATATTGTTACTCTTCATCTTAATTACTAATATACTTATAAATCTTATATTAAATCTTTAAAATTCTAACAAAGAATCAAAGTAATATAAAAGATTGTGGAGCGCAACTGTTTGATCACCCCACCCCACCATCACCACCACCATCTAAATCAGCTGTATGGCTGTACCTTCCTACTCCATAAACTGTCAATCTCACAGTGACTTGTTTCCACAAAATTTAATTTTCTCCTTAAAGCTTGAATTTTAATGTTGGCAATAAATATTGCAATTTCTTTTTCAAAATAGACAAATTTCTTTCATATTTTTCCAAAACCAAGTCAGTTTAATGCCCATGTCTAAATAATAAAAGTTTGCCTGCTACTTGTTTTCTCAAATAAAAATGAATGGTATTCCATTGAAAAATGGCTAATTCAGCTGACAAATCTTACAATCACACAGGCACTTTCCTGACAGACACCATCCTTACCTATGCCTCAGAACTCCTTTAGGTGGACTTTCTCATTTGTTACATGGAATATTGAAAAAAGTGACTCTAAGGTTGAAGGTAAGTACAATCATTAATTTTTCAGTTCAAGCAGGACAATCTTA